TTGGAGTTTTCTAACAAGAATAACATCCAAGCTTCTGGAAATTCCATGAAGTGACGATTCATATATGACTTTCTAGGAACAAACAAGGTAATCAAGCTCTTTGGATGTGCCAATTACAATTGGACTTAGACCGCAAGCATGGTTATAACCAGCTTCTAACGGGTCAGTGCTAGTTACAACCAGGCTTTTAAAGATGGGGCCAGTGACAACTAGACTTTATGGGATTCCAGTAAAAACTGGACTTTGGATATACCAATGACAATTGGATTTTGAAGATGCCAATAACGATTGGACTTGAAAACGATGTCAGTAACAACTGGACTTTTAACATATAAATAACAATTGGATTTTGACAATAGTGCCAGTGGCAACTAGGCTTTTAAAGCAGAGTGTCAGCACACAATTGGACTTTAAAAACAAAGTGCCATGAATAACTAGACTTTAAAAATAGTGTCAATAACAACTGGACTTTAAAAATAGAGTGCTAGTAACAATTGAACTTTAAAAATAGAGTGCCAGTAACAACTGGACTTTAAAAATAGAGTGCCAATAACAACTGGACTTTAAAAAATGAGTTCCACTAACAATTGGACTTTAAAAATAGAAGGGATTCAGAAAGTCAATAATGATTGAATTTTGAAATGACACAAGTGAAAACCGAAAAATGTTTCCAGGGCATCAAATTACAAATTGGCTTGAGAATATGAATTGTCAGACGATAGCTGGTGTTTTGTATTTTGTTTGTCAGATGGGAACTAACTTTCAGATGGTCTACCATACGAGAATTGGTTTCTTGTGATTTATTGAGAACTGACTTTAAAAATAGGCTACCAGGTGGGAACTGGTTTTAAAAAGAATACTGACTACCAAGTAGGTATTGGAGTTAAACACAGGCTACCAGACGAGACTGGTTTTACCAAAGGCCATAAGACGAGAATTGGTTTTAAGAAAAGAATACCAGATAAGAATTGGTGTTTGAAAACTGGCTGTCAGACGGGAACTAACTTTCAAATAACTTACCAGATAAGAACTGGTGTATGAAAATTGGCTGTCAGGCGGGAACTAACTTTCAAATAATTTACCATATGAGAATTGGTTTTTGATGCTTGATTTTTCATGCATGGGCATATGCTCAATGAATGAGATAATATGCATGACTTGACGCTTAAAGCAAAATGACATGATTAATGCATGAGAATGATTTAACGACTCAAAAGTTTCCAATTTTTCCCCTATGGTAGGTAATGGAAGGGTATTTTGCAGCAAAGTTCCTCGTGTCAAAAGGTATGAATAGGGTAATTAACATGATTCCTCGACACCCATCTTAAACTCACGGTTACTGATGTATGACTTGTTTGAAAAACTTGAAAGCATGAAGAGGACTTGCCCCTCTATGGCTCATCTTGCCCCGGTCTATTGGGTCTTTGAAGAAGTTCGCCTTAAAAGAAATTCGGAAACAACTTGCTCTGACTTTATGGTAGCTTGCCCTAAGTATTTTAATTTTGCAGTGTTTTACCCTTTAACTGGACACTTCTTGAATTGGGAGACTCCTGATTAAATGACCTTTGGAGAGTTGGACTCATTAAGCTTTTTGTGGTAGCTCGCCCTAGTATGAGTCTTTAGGATTTTCTCTTGACTAACCGACTTTTGGGGTGATTAGCTTAGATTGACCAATACACAAAGTGATTTTCCCTTGACTGGACTTCTTTTACGTGATTAAGCTCCTCAACTGATTATGCATTATTGGGATTCCTTTGATGATAAATGATGACTTGCAATTAAAATAGTTCATTCAAAAATGATAATTTTAATGCGGTGCTTATACAAAATTTGAAATCAAAATTTATTGATATGATGGTGAATAAATTGAACGGGTCAATGATTATAACACAATGTTAATTTAGCCATTCACAGTTTGTAAGGTGGTGTGATTAACACAAATGATTATCAAATATCGTTTGGAGTCAGGTTAACACAGCCTTGTTGCAGTATGCTTTTCGAATAAACTCTGACTCAATTAGGTCTTTTAAGGGTTGCAATGTCACTTGGTTCACAATTTTTAAACAAAAGGATATGAGGCTCAAAACTTAATTTTAACCCATCCCTTCTTCTTAATGAACTTTAGTCCTATGTTCAGTTAATTAACCCATGCATTCAATTTCTAAGAAGGTTTTAAGGTATGATGGTAAGAATGAGGATTCAAGATGAGATTTCTCTTGAAATGACAACCACCTTATTTATCTTTGTTTTTGTTGAGGATTTTGATGACCTCTTTTGATGGATTTTTATCCCTAATTTTTCCTGGACCACTTTTTTGAAGTTTTTGGTCCACCGGGATGCCCTAATTTTTGCTTAAGTCGTCTTTTTGTGGTATTCGACTTAGCAGGCTATTTTCATTTTTTTTGTTGCTAAAAGGTTGGTGACTGCCATGTTATTGGTGGACGAAGAACAACCGCTATAATTTCTCTTGGATTTTCACGACTTCTCCGACACTTTGTGATGTGTACGAGGGATAACACGCGATTGACCTCCTTAGTGGGACGATTTCTCTTGCAATTTGAATGCAAAGTCAGATTAACTAAGCAAACTACCACGCCCCTGATTAAGATTAAGAGATTTTAAATTTGAAAGAAACACCAACTTCTAGGCTCAAAGTGGTTGACTAGGGACTAACTTCTTATTTCTTTAGTGTTTGGGGATTTAAAATAATGCCTTATATCATCAACAAAGTTTTAACTGAAAGCATGCTAACAACATTTATGGGTATCTGGTTTTCATCATTCTTCTTCCAATCTTTGTTAAAACAACAGTTTGATAAAGACAAGTGAATGGAAGAATTTTTTTTTGTTTTGTTTTGCACGAATGAAGGAAAAATGGCAGAGTGAATACAGATGGATTGATTTAAAAAAATGCACGATCACTTCATTAATATTACCATTAAAAGAACAACAATGTTTAAAAATAAGTAGCATTTAATAGTCAAATAAAATACAAATGATAAAAATGCCCCATGGTTGCCAGCGTTGAGGATGACTTTCTGTTTGATCTAGTGTCTTCAGGAGATACCCTTTAGGTCTTCGCACTTATCATGGAGAGAGGTTGACATTCACCAACAAATTTTCTTCTAAAAAGGCTATGTACTTCTTGTCGATCAACTGTTGTACCCTTGCTTGGAAAGCTTTGCAGTCTTCTGTTGAGTGTCCTATCGATCCGCCATGATATCCACATTGCACATAGGGATCGTACCCAGGTGGGTATGATTTTGGAATAGGCTTCATAGACTTGGGAACCGCCAATGAACTTTGAATTAGAGGTTGTAGAAGCTGAGTGTATAACATGGGAATTGGATCAAGAGGAGCATTCCTTCTTTTCAAGTTGTTGCGAGGCCTATATTGGCTCTGATGCTGATATTGATATCCTTAACTTTGGACTCGCTAATTTGAAAGATGAGTTTTCCCAAGTTGTTGGTATGATACTCTAGGCGTTGTTGGTTGCCTATAAGGATATCATGGCACTGGAAATGATGATTGTTGAGAAGATAGAGGACCATAATGTCTTGTTGGTACATAATGAGAATACTCAAGATCTGCAATAACTGCATTAATTACACCCTCTTCGTCCTCTTGAGAGCTGCTGAGGGATTCACTCTCTCTAGCCTGACTGCTTGAGACATCTTGGATTTTTCCATTCTTGAAACCACTCTCGATGCGTTCTCCAACTTTCACCAAGTCAGAGATGTCAGATGATGTAATACCTATCATCCTTTCAAAGTATGGGCTTTGCAATGTATCCATGAACATGTCAACTAATTCTCTGTCTAAAAGTGGTGGTTGCACTTGGGCTTCTAATTCTCTCCATCGTTGTGCATATCCTCTGAAAGATTCATTGTCTTTCTGAGACATACTCAACAACTGTCTTTTATCCTAAGCCACATCCAAGTTGTAGTTGTACCGCTTCAAAAAAGCGTTGGCTAAGTTTTCTTATGATTGAATGTGACTCTTTTTCAGCTTCATGTACCAACCCAATTGATGACCCACACAAACTGTCTTGGAAATAGTGAATCATCAACTTATCACCTTCGGGTCTTTTTTAATATTTAATTATCTTCCACTATGATCATATGAAGAGTATCCTTCTCCCAAATCCTTTTATTTCAAAAACTTAGATGTTTAAATTCTACAGAGAACAATGAAAATTTTGAACTCTTGTTACAAAAGATCAAATTGATTTATATACAACTTCAGTTCTTAAAATACTGCAAAATTACTATTGCTGTCGAAAACAACTTAACGTCTTTTCTCTCTCTCTCTCTCTCTCTCTCTCTCTCTCCCTCTCTCTCTCTCTCTCTCTCTCTCTCTCTCTCTCTCTCTCTCTCTCTCTCTCTCTCTCTCTCTCTCTCTCTCTCTCTCGAGAATTCGTCCCGTTAAACTTTGTCACTTTGGTGTCTAAAATATGATTTAACTATATGTGCTTAACCTGTACATTCATCTCAACTCCACTCTTTGTTGAACATATTGAGTTGAAGATCTCAAGCTAACAATTGATCAAACACAAAGATTGTTAACACCTAATAGAATTCGAACATGAGACCTTGAGAGAAACACACCCTCAAGATCCAAACATTCGCCACAAAGTCAAATCCTTAGAAGTTAAATCTTAACCATTTATTACCACAAGTACCCAATTATCTATAACATATAATAAAGGCAAATTTTGGTTTTGGTGTAACCTATTTTTCTTTCAATTATATCCTTTTTAGTTTTTATTTTAAATCTCAACTTCTATTTTAATAAGCGTTGTACAATGGTTTACACACCTCATTCATTCAACTTTTTTTATTTTATAAATAATTTAAATTAAAATATATAATAAACACAATAATAATAATAATAATAATAATAATAATAATAATAATAATAATAATAATAATAATAATAACTGTTTTTCTGGTTTGATTTTTTATAGTCTCGCCGGAGAAGGTGATTTCAAATTCAGGGAAAATGGAAATAACATTTAACTCAACGACGGCAAGAGGTAAACTTCTCTAAATTCTGACCATCATGATTTTGATTTCATTTCTCAGTTCAATTTATTTTCATCGCCGATCATATTTCTCGCCACAGTTCCTTCCTTGCCGATAAATAAATCAGACACTCGCGATCGAAATCCGTTTTCACTTTCCATCGTGCCCCGTAACGGATTCGTGCACCTTTCATCCTCTCCAACACGCTTTCGCACTAACAAGAATTCTCTCTTCAAGGTACATATCAAGAATTGATTTATCAAATTCATGTTATTCCAATGATTTTCATATTTAATATACAATAGTTAATTTGCATGTTTGAGATTCCACAAACGCTGAATGTGTTGTTAGTTGTTAATTCAATTTTCATATACTTTTCCTCTTTTAGGTTTTATCAGCTGAAAAGAATCATGTTCAAGTTGTTGAGGGAAGGTATACCGTACTTTTTGTTACATTGTATTATTTTATTTACTAATTTACTAACTATTTTGAGGGAAATACAGTGTGACTGTAAAATGAAGTAACATTGTATAATTTTTCCATAATTTTCTTTGGTAGCTATGGCTTGATTGTTTAATGTGTTAGTTGAGATGTTTTAATTACTTTTATGGCTTTGCAGTGCTGTTGATGAGATCTATGATGCATTGGTTAGACGAATTCTGTCTCTGGCGTCAGTGTCGTTAAATCCTACTTATAAGTAAGTTCTTGCTGTTGGAGTTACTGAAGCTAGTAGAGTTGCTTATGAGTATTGAATATTAATGCAATTGTGTATAATGAAACTTGTTCTTTCAAAATGATGCATGTATGTTACGGCTGGATGTGTATTATGTATAGTAGTACCATTTAATGTGCGCACATCACCTGATTTATTTCTTATATGCTTTGAAGATTGTTGTTATGTCTGTTGAAACAAGTGTGATTTGGAAGTGTTGAGAAACAAGTGTGGGAAAGTCCCACATTGATTAGAAAAAAGGAGATTGAACACTTTATATGTAAGAGAACCCACACACCTATCATCTTAAGGTGTTTTTGGTGAATATGTAATGTGTCTCTCAGAAGGTGTGTTGCTCAAAGAAATGTGTTGGACTCTTCAGTTTTGTAATTGATGTTAAATTATTAGGAGAGTTGGTGAGAAATTATTAGAATGATTATATTATTAATTAAGAGTGTTTAGGTAGGTTGAGAATAAATAGGGGAAGATATTGGGAGTTGGTGAGAAATTATTAGAATGATTATATTATTAATTAAGAGTGTTTAGGTAGGTTGAGAATAAATAGGGGAAGATATTGGGGAGTTGATCATCTTGGAATTGGATAGGAAAAGGGGCCATTTTGGCATTGGGAGATGCAGACCCTTGAAGTTTCTGCGGTACTATTATGTAATTCAAAGGGATTTTCCCTATTTTCTTTTATATATCAGTTGGTCTCTATCAACTGGTATCAGAGCAGTTCTGATCCAAAAGAGATTTTATCGAGGTGCTGGAAATTTTGGCATGAATATGACTGCAGATTTTATTCCAAGATTTGATGGAAGGGAGGCCTATTGGTGGTTGATCCAGGCTGAGCAATATTTTGGGTCAAGAAGAATGAGTGAAGAGATGAAGCTTGAGTGGGCTGTTGCATTTGCATTGAGATGAGATGCTCTTGATTGGTGGATTTCTTGGAAGGAGAGTCATCCAAATACTTGGTGGAATTTTGTTATGGCCATTCTTAAGAATTTTGTTAAGGCCACTACTGAAAAAGAAATACACTAAATCCAAGGCAGCGAAGAAATTCAAGAACCAATAGCATCTCCAATTGAAGAAAAGATTGGTGGTAAAGTTGAAGACTCACGAATCAAACAATAGTGAAAAAGAAGTTTGTAAAATGGATACCAAATCTGATTGTGAGGGCGATGAAGTGAAAAATACAGATTCATTGATGGCTGCCAGTGAAGCAGAGGTCCAGAGAAGTGACGCAGAGTCGGCTTTTTCATCACAGGAAAAAGACTCACTAGTGTCGGTAGAGAAAATAGGTGATGCACTGACAGTGTAAAAAAATCTTACACTGTCAACCAATCACGACCATGAATTCCGTCAAATCAGACTGTAATTTTAAAAAAATTTATATGACATGGCAAAATGATATATTCTTATTGGATGACAGTGTAAAACTATTTTACATTGTCAGTGCATCTCCTTTAACCTCTTGTCGGTATTTGCTACTATTCCTAAGATAAAGTCTAGGAACTAGAAATTTCCACTACTGGTGCCACTGTGACCACAATTGGTCACGACAGGACTGCCATTAGCAGGAAAATTTCTGATTTCATGTACAACTCAAGCCTTAATTTTCAAATTATGGGCTTTTCAATTGAGGACAAGGTGAATCTTTAGGGGGAGTATTGTTAGACTTTTCAATTTTGTAACTGATATTAAATTATTAGGAGAGTTATTATTAAGAGAGTTAGTGGGTAATTATTAAAATTATATTATTAATTAAGAGTGTTTAGGTTTAGAATAAATAGGGGAAGTGATTGGGGAGTTGATTATCTTGGAACTGGATAGGAAAAGGGGGCATTTTGGTATTGGGAGGCGCAGACCCTCGAAGTTCTGCGATACTATTCTATAATCCAAAGGGATTTTCCCTATTTTCTTTTATATATTAGTTTGTTTCTATCAAAATGTCCCAATGTAAAAATGTTCCCTTATGTTGACCCTCAAATTGATGACCTAATAGTGGTATCAAGAGCCTAGTTGATGGCATTGCGGAGGTGTGTTAAGAGTTCCACAGTGGACAATATTTGGTTTGAACATATCTTTATAAGTGGGGGAAACCCTTACCCTACAAGCCTGTTTTGTAATACCCTACAAGCCTGTTTTGTAAGATTGAGTTAGCTTCAATCACATTTCTTAACAATGTCATCAATCCCATTCAGCTTATCATTTTATAGGATTGAGTTAGGTTCAACCACATTTTGCAGAAGATTTATAGGTTTGTCAATACTTAAACTAAACCTTGATCTAGTTATCTTGGAAGAAAACTTTTTAAATTGTATTTTATTGTGTCAAAGTATAAAATTCTTATATTGTTAGAACTTATTTTAGATTGTATAAAACTTCTGTTTGCAGATTTTCTGTGTCCTTCTGTGTTAGATTATCATGTAGAAAATCATCTTTATCTTCTTTGATTAGATGTTTCTCCAATGTTGGGTTATTTATTATTTCATAAACTTACAAATAAAATAGTTGTCTCCCTCCTTTTCAACTATTGGTTATGGGAGGTTGGCAAACTAGAAGGATAGTGTCAAATGTATGTACTGTACGTTTGTACGCTATACCTCTATATATTGATTTTATTTTATTTTTTATGGTGCTGCACAGGTTTTTTGTTGGCCTGGCTGGTCCTCCTGGTGCTGGGAAAAGCACAATAGCGCATGAAGTAGCCAGACGCATAAACAAGCTTTGGCAAGAGGAAGCTTCTTCCTTTGACTCCCAGGTCCAACCTCCTGATGTCGCTGTTGTGATTCCCATGGATGGTTTTCATCTTTATCGTTCTGAACTAGATGCAATGAAGGTTGGTATCCTATATTCTCACAATTTTTTTTATCCATAAAATGTTATTCCTAGTTAATTTCACTGTTCATATTTGTTGTAGCAATCAAATTGGATGTCGTTGAAAGGGATATATTTGATTGATAGGCTATCATTTTCCGTGTGATAGAGCAAGGAAATAGGAACATGTTCTGAAGTTTTGCTTATTGATTTCTTTCCCTGAAGACTAAATTTGATGCTGCATTTGGTCAAGACTGATGAGATATTCCATAAAAGTTGTATCCCCCTTCCGCACAAAAAATTTATGTAGTGTTGAGAACATAGAGTATACTTAAATACTACTGGACTGGAATCCATATTTATTATCACAAAGAATCATAATTCTGATCTTCTAATTCTAAGTCATCTTATTATTTTGTTATGATTCTAAGTGATCTTTTTGATAATAGAATCCCGAGGAAGCACATGCTAGAAGGGGAGGTGAGGTACCTCTTCATATTCCCATCAATCTCAAACACTATTCATAGAAAAGAATTAATTTTTTGATTGGTCTATCAGCTCCATGGACATTCAATCCTATGCGACTTCTTACGTGTCTCAAGAACCTAAAAGTTCATGTAAGGTTTACAAGTTTTTAAAGATCTAATGGTATTACTTATTTCATTATTATTATTATTATTATTATTATTATTATTATTATTATTATTATTATTATTATTATTATTATTATTATTATTATTATTATTATTATTATTATTATTATTATTATTATTATTATTATTATTATTATTATTATTATTGTTGTTGTTGTTGTTGTTGTTGTTGTTGTTGATATTATTACTATCATTTTCCGTGGCTTAATGACTCTAGAATTGTTTATTTGACCATAACCCTCTCTCTCTAAAAAATTCTGATTATCTTTATTGGCCAGTTCTTCAGTAAAGCTTGGATGAATATAAACAACTGTAACCATCTGTGCATTGACGATGATGTAGTTCTTATCTGATTTGTTTGATTGCATTTTGGTGTAACATAATTCTTCAGGGATCAGTTTATGTACCATCATTTGATCATGGTGTTGGGGATCCCGTGGAAGATGATATCTTTGTGAACCTACAGTGAGTATCTTAACATTTCGGTGGGCCCAATTGTCTGCATTTTTATTATCTCCTCTCAAAACATGATATATTTTAAATAAAAGTTAATGATACATTTTAAGCTAACATTACAAAAAACAGGAGAAATGGCTATTATGAAGGGGTTAGTATTTTCCTCCCGACTATTTACCATTAAAATTATGTCGATATTTGAACTCTGTTATTAAATCTGTTATCTTAAAAACTTTGTAAGGCCAACTTATAGTAATACTAATTTTAAAAAATGGCAGTAATATCTTGAATTTTTTAAGATAACAGATTTCACACTCAACTCTAAGATATCTTATAGAAAAACAATTCTGACAGATTGAGCCCCTAACCGTCATTAATTTTGTTCACTCTATTATTGAGAAATTTTGGAAAATCAATGCCAGTAACATCTCCTATTTTTTAATATTTATTGCTAGTTGCAACAACTATATCATTATTTATTAGTCTCCAATGAGCTAGCTTTTTTTTTACAAAATCAGGGGTAATTAATTTTCTATATAGTTGCTACTTGTAACATGCACTTTCAACATATTTTGTTGTGTTGATATGTACTAAAAATATTCATTTCGTTTCCTCCTTTATGTAGGCATAAAATCATTATCGTAGAAGGTAACTATTTGCTCCTGGAAGATGGGGTATGGAAGGAGATTTCATCTTTGTTTGATGAGAAATGGTAAGTATTGAATTTACCGAGACACGTGTTTTTTTATATTTTCCGTTGCCCTTGATAGTTTTGAAAGTTGTAAGAGAACTCACGATTGAAAATTCATATGTGAGCTTCTGACCCCTGGTTGAAAGTTCTGCAATAAAAGTTACATTTATGGACTTGAGTTTTCTAAACCACATTCAGATTATCATTAGCATTTGCTTGTTTTAGAGCCCAAGTATATAAAGGTTCCCTAGATTTTTTCCCTATAAATCCAATATTTGGCTTAACCCTAGTTGGTTTAACTTGTAAAAGAATGTTCACCTATGCGAGTTTATTCAGCTAGAAGAACATGTCCATGTGATATCATGCACTTTTGTTTTCCTTTTTCTTATTCTTCAGTATCTATAATTTACCCAATACATTTTTATGGGTTAGGTAGGTCTCTACTTTTTTTTTTTTTGGAATTATACATATTTTGACTTAACATGATAAATTATTGTCTTGAACATTAGTAGCCTTTCTAGTGCATTATTTGTTGAAGGAGTTAAACTAATTCTCAGTCCATTTCTATTCCTTGACATTGTGATTGGTTTATGTTGTCCATGCCTCTGGTTAGCAAAAGGCAATTTCAACCGGGCATAACTTTATGATCAGAAGTGACAATCTAAACAACCTATCAGACTCGGTCGATTGATTATTATTATTAAAAGTTGGCATTTTCCTTTCCAAGTTTTAAATCAAGAAATATGCAACCTAACACAAGGCTACTATTTGCATTTTCAACCTTTAAAAAATTATTAGGGTATCAGTTTGCCTAATTTGTTTGTTCCTATTCTTTTCAAGGTTTGTTGATATTGACATTGACAAAGCCATGCAACGAGTTTTAAAGAGGCATATCTCTACTGGTATTTACGATGCAGTAATATTTTTTATATATCAATTCAATGTCTATGGAATTCATTTTATATTCATATGAATTTTTGTTTTTCGGTTCCAATCTATAGGCAAGACTCGAGACATTGCTGAGCAGAGGGTAAACTTCACACCTTACTACTTGTGATTTATTTATTTATATAATTATCCAGTTGAATGTTGACTATATTGTTCTATTGGTTTTTGACAATGGTTCATTTGCTATATGCAACACTTTGCAGATAGAGAACAACGACAGACTTAATGCAGAACTTATAATGAAGTCTAAGAAAAATGCTGATATAATAATCAAGTCAGTTGATTTTTGAGGAATCTGTTTGTAATAAGTCAATTTCAATTGTAAAATAAAAATAAATAAATTATTTGATCAATAAGTCCAAACATTTGGAAATTTGGGACTACCTATTGTCTTAATTCATCTTGATAAATGTGATATTGTATTGTTCTCCTGGGTATATATAGGAGTATGGGCCATAACATGTTTGATTTTATGATTTTAAGTTTAGAAGTATTCAATATCTTTTATTTCACAATTAGTAGAAGATCCGTGCGTCCGTACGGGTATGAGGAAAAGAATGAGATATAGTATTGATGTTACATCAAATTTTATGTAAATTCAATATAAATATGTCAATTTTGAATTTTTTTTAAAGTAGCAATGTTATATAATTTAATTACCAAATAAAACAAACTTTCAAAAAAATTATCAAAATGACAAACTTTGAAACTCATCCAGCAAGCATTCGCCAAATGATTTGGCCGAATTAGTTAAAATGTTGTTTCAAGGCATTCACTGGAATGGCGAATTAGGCCATTTGGAAATTGGTCATGTGGCTAATTTTTAGGGTTTCCAATTTTTTTTGGTTTTTCTTGTTTTTTTATCATATATTTAAAGTTTTAAAAATTTATTTGTTTTTTGATTTTAATATCATTATTATTAGTAACTATAAAATATATTAATTTATAATATTAATATAATTAAAATATTATTAGTAGTAACTATAAAATATATTAATTTATAATATAAATAATGATTGAATCGAAGGATAAAATTTTTTTTTTTAATAATTAATTTAAGATTTATTGAGTCTTTAAGATTTATTGAGTCTTCATCTCATTCACCACAACTTACTAATGAAACTGATCACACAATGTCATCGATGAATTATACAAAGACCGAAATTTAATTTGTATTTTTTTTAATTTAGTTGGACAAATAATTATTACTAACTTGGTAGTGAGAGTCATTTTTAATAACGTGACTCTAGCAATACTTGTTACTAATTTTATATCCGTTTTTAGTAATTGGTTGTTATATGTAATTGAATTTATCTTATTTAAATTTAAAATATTTTAAATTAAATTTTAATTTTTAAATTTTGGTTATTTTAATATTTAAAATTTATAATGTTTTAAAATTTTATTTAAACTATAAAATTATTGATTATGAAAAACATTATAAGTTTTCATTTTTGTTTTATTTTAAATTTATTATTAAAATAACTCTAACATAAATTTAATATTTTTATATTTAAAAATTTATTAAAACTAAAATTTGTGATTTATCTGTGGTTATTTTATGCGGATTTATTTGAGGATCTTTTTGCCAAATATATTACTCATAATGGTTTTAGTTGGTAATCAAAAAGTTAGAAAAAACCATTTTATGCAAAGATTTAGTTAAAATATAGAAAAGGTTGTCCTAATGATTTTGACTATCTATTTTGATTGTATTCTTAAATTATTTTAATAGACTTCAGTTTCTAGTTTTTGTTAAAATATTGTACTTTTAAAGTAAGGGATGTGTTTCATAAAAAAAAAAAAAAATGTTACTTATTATTTTCTATGTATTAGACTTATTAATATAATGTAAATAAAATGCTAAAGTTAATATTTTTAGTATTTTCTAAACAAATTATCAAGTGTGTTACAATGACATTATAACATTTAAAATTTAAATAATCGTGAAATTCACATCATACTATTAACAATTTAAAAATTGAACATTTATAAATTTCAATCCACAAAAATGATAGAGTTATATAGAGAATCAAAAGTATATCTAATTGAATTAATAAGTTCGGTGTTAAATTGCTCTCTAATAGTACTAAAAAAAATTTCAACAACTTCACCATGATCTTTCCATGCCAAACTGTTGAACATAAGATTTAGCTTTCAACCATGAATTCGAATGTTGAACATGCTATTCACCTTTCAACGGTGAATTAGAATGTTGAACATGAGATTCACCTTTCAACATTTATGAACTATCATGTTGAACATAAATATAACCTTTCAATGATTATTATAAACTTTAGAACGATGTCAAATTTTAATTTTTCATTAAAAGTTTTTCGTAAGTTACAATATGGATATTTGGGTCTTAAATTTTTTTGATGCTTAAAATAAACAATATTTCTTTCAATTTGTAATTGATGGAATTATGTATCATCTTTACCTATAAGACACACTTTATCTATCATTTTTGTGGATTGAAATTTTTAAATGCTCAGTTTTTAAATTGTTAATAGTATGATGTGAATTTCACGATTATTTAAATTTTAAATGTTATACTGTCATTATAACACACTAAATAATTTGTTTAGAAAATACTAAAAATATTAACTTTAACATATTATTTACATTATATTAATAAGTCTAATACATAGAAAATAATAAGTAACAAATAAATTAATATATTTTATAGTTACTAATAATAATTATATTTACATTATAAATTAATATATTTTATAGTTACAAATAATAATATTTTAATTATATTAATATTATTTATATTATAAATTAATATATTTTATAGTTACTAATAATAATGATATTAAAATCAAAAAAACTAAATTTTTAAAACTTTAAATATATGATAAAAAAACAAGAAAAACAAAAAAAAAATTAAAAACCCTAAAAATTAGCCACATTCGCCGATTACAATTTCCAAATGGCCTCGCCATTCGCCATTCTATTTGGCGAATACCTTGAAACAACATTTTAACTAATTCGCCAAACCATTTGGCGAATGCTTGCTGGATGAGTTTCAAAGTTTGTCATTTTGTAATTTTTTTGAAAGTTTGTTTTATTTGGTAATTAAATTATATAACATTGCTACTTTAAAAAAAAATTCGTCAATTTTTTTTTAGCATTGATGTTAATTTAATCTAAAAAAATAGAAGAGAGGTTAATATTAATTTATTATTATTTAAACAAATCATATTTATCATTTTTATATTAAAGACAAACATTTAATACATTAATTTCAATAATAAAACAAGAGTAGAGTATTTTGGTTAATATTAAATACTAATTAATAAAGTAGTTAAGTAAATTGAGATATATAATTGGAAAATATAATTAATTTCTAAAATTACAAATATTAAGGTAGAGCTACAACCCATAACATGAAAATAAGCAATCAAAATTTCATCCATTTACAACGTGGATTAGGGAACAAAAACCATCATTTATCGAATAACAATAATAATACCAAACACAGCCTGACATTCACATTATATAGAATTATATCAAAACCAAAAGCAATGCAAGCCAGTAGGAATACCCATTGATCTAATTGATTGCAGTGTCAAATATTGAGATCTCCATAGACTCTAAAGTAGGGCATGAAAATGCAATGCATGCCAGCAATGTAGAATCAGAGGATTAGAATCCTATTCCTCATAAATGAAACAGTTCTACTCTGAAACTGCTCCCGTTTATAAATGAACTCATTCCTCTTCCAACCCCACCCCACTAAAATAAAAAGCATATAAGAGAAATATTTATTCCATTACAACTGCTGTAAAAGTTGAAGATGTGATAGCAGACATCAAACTAAAGAGAACCAAAGTCCTGAGAGATTTGGTGAAACAACCTCAATGAATACACAATGTGTGGATTTGTCTTTTGATTATCATAAAAGTCTTTCCAAGACCATACCTTAACAACTATTTCTCCATCTTTTCTTGTGAACTCCTCCGACTATGGTGTGTGCATTATTGTATGGGGAACCTTAATGAGTGTTTCCATGCTCTTGAAAACCAAAGGTGCTTAAACTGTGACAGCATCAAGTATATAACAATGTAACTAATAATGTCTACCATTAGCACATGGAAATTGAGACACCCTTCCCCCAAAATAAAATCATAAAAGTCCTAGAGAATAGCCATAAATTAGACAGGTACATCACAAAACAAAACAATCCATGCTAACCTGCAAACACGGCAAACACTTTAACATTTACAATGAAATCACCAATGTACTACAAGATATCATCAACTCACTGTAAAATGAAAAGAGAAAAAGAAACTATAGTGAAATATATGCTTAGATGCCATATAAATAAACTCCAAGTTCGAAAAAATGATCTTTGGGACAATAAATTGAAAATAACCTTTAGGAGAACAAATAGAAGTAAATATGGAGCTGTGCAAAAAATGAGTCTTAGCAAGTGCAAAAAAGGGAACACACATACTTTCTTCTGTTTCAAAATAAACTTTGAATCAACACAAATTCCTTCCATGTTATCAATGCAAACGTAGCAATCATGCCTGAACCAAAAAAAAGACCACCACACTGAATATAATTTACATAAACAAATTATAACTAAACCCGTAAACCACAACATAAAAAAACCTTGAATCTCAATTGGGAATATTAAAGTTAAACCCTATATCATAAAATTAAACAAAATCATGGCTCATTTTTTATACAACATAAACCATAAAATGAAGATTTTACATTTAAAACATCAAAATTATACGTTTTCAGAATCGGCACACATGAATGTAGCTCCCAAATTGAAGTTAAATAACCTTACATCATCACCAAATATAATGTTTGAGAAGGATTGACTTTACCATTATTAGTGAACAAATCTTTGATAACATCGACCCATTTCAAAATTCTTCCACTTCTGATTTTCCGACTGCTCCTTCATCTATGATTGCATGAAGTGAATGCATGATTAAGATCTATTATACCAAATTCCTTACAGCCACCTATATTTGTAACCATTATCTCAATTCTGTGCATATCCATCATAGAAGATTGTAAACGTTACACATAGTTTTAATATTTATATTTAGTGACACTATGATACCAACCTCCTACTTAGGCCACCTATATTAGTAACCATTGTCTCAATTCTGCATACAAACCATGAAACTGAATGTGTTCACAGTAAGTGGAGAATTTGGAGGTACCACATCATCTCGAGTAAAATGCTACATAAAACACAGCAAGTGAAGAAGAATACTAACCATACGGGCACGCAGAGTTCGTATCATAACAACAGGCTCAA